CTTAGAACCCCAATAGGTGAGCCTAATTTTTACAATGTTACTTCACAAAGGAGGAGCTGAAGGTCTAGAACGAGGAGTGATGGTCCCAAATCCCCCAGCTACTCTGGCTGAGCTGACTTTAGACCTGAGACCCCCCCCCCCATTGCCACCCAGCGCTCTCTCAGTATACTGTGCTATGTGTAATTTAACTCCAGAACCTTACGTTAAGAGCATGCTTTTGAGAGAGAGTTCTAGGCTCTGCATTCAGGAAAATGTGAAATTAAACAATTGAAAGATAAATAAACCCACACAAAGTATGAACAGCACTTCCAGGAATGCAGGCAGCAACTCTGTGTCTTATTTATGGCTCCACCGGCCTTGAAACAGAAAACTCGAGGGGGGTCAATAAATGGATTGCAAGGTTGTTACATTTAACTACAAAGAAAAAATGTGTCCAAGGCCCTTGTGGAAGTGCTTGTAATGTCTGCAGCAAGTGGCAGGAGCTGCAAGGAGGTAGTGTTTGTCTCCTGATAAATCCTTAGCCTTTTCTACAGTCTCAGGATCTCTGGGTGAGGACAGGTCAGCCAGATCATCTTGTTCAATTGCTCCTGAGGCCTGACTTCCCCCACCACACTGCACGATTTGCACACCTCTAATGGCAAGTATTTCACTGCCTCTGGGGGCAGCTCATTCCAGTCCTGGACAGAGTGATCCTTATGGTGATGAGCTTGGTACCTGGCTCCCTGCCACATCCCTCCAAAGATGCAGTGGCCATCAGAGTAATCTCAGTCTCCTTCAGGAGACAGCCCTTTGCCTGTTTACTGAAGCAGATCGTGTAAACCTGGAGCCTCTGCCTCTCCAGGGAAATGGCCTCAATTCTTTCCACTATTTCCTATGTAACAAGGTTTTAATTGGCACTGTCATTCACCTAGATTTTCCTAAATGTGCTGACTTGTCTAGATTGTTCTCAAACTGTAACGTCCAGAAGTAAAGGCAGCGGCCCTGCTGTGGACTAATTGATACCCAGTATAAGATATCTGCCCCCTTTATCATTCGAGCTAGAATACTCCTGTTAATATGCCCACATCACCCAGCCCCTATTTAATGCAGCCTGTGACTTGGTCCCAAGGGTCGATGTGATTGTCAAGCATCACCACCTCCAGTCTGTGCAGGTCACCTCAGAGTAGTGTTTTCTCAATCCTCCCAGTTCCCAGCCTAAGAGAACCATTCAAAGCCAAAGAGCACATTGACTCAGTTGGCCAGGGCTGGGCCAGGTAACAGAATTCTGGAAAGCACCTTCCAGTTGATATTAACCCACCATTAAGCACAGCCAGTTATGAATTCTCCATAACACAGGTCAACTTCAGTCTCTCCTCTTTGGGAAATGGTACCATTTACCCCCACTCTCACTCCATGTGTTTCAGAGAACTCTTCTCTACCTTATGACCAGAAATGGGCACAGGGCTCAGAGCCGCCCTTGGTCTCCAGACCTCGAGTGACCAGAGGCAATCCAATCAGAGGAAATACTGGGAACTGGGGAGGAAAAACTCCCCTTTTTACAGGGACTGGCGAGGACAAACTGTAAGGTAAAGCTTCCTATGGGAGAAAAAGAAGTAAAGAAACCACAGCAGAGCAAAGTAGAGCAAAGGGAAGTACAGAGACTGAGCTACAAAAATAGCATTTGAGCCCCTGGATGCAGCCCTGCCTGAAGCCCATCTGACAGCTTAACTTACTTGTTTCGTTAACCCCCAAAGTTCCTTTTTACCAAAACCAGCTGCTTTCTGTCAATGAGCACAAAGCAAAATTCCACAACTTCCCTCACACCCAGAAAGGCCAAGTGACATCTTATCAAACCCCTTGCCAAAGTCTACTACTCTCTGTGTCTTATTTATGGCTCCACCGGCCTTGAAACAGAAAACTCGAGGGGGGTCAATAAATGGATTGCAAGGTTGTTACATTTAACTACAAAGAAAAAATGTGTCCAAGGCCCTTGTGGAAGTGCTTGTAATGTCTGCAGCAAGTGGCAGGAGCTGCAAGGAGGTAGTGTTTGTCTCCTGATAAATCCTTAGCCTTTTCTACAGTCTCAGGATCTCTGGGTGAGGACAGGTCAGCCAGATCATCTTGTTCAATTGCTCCTGAGGCCTGACTTCCCCCACCACACTGCACGATTTGCACACCTCTAATGGCAAGTATTTCACTGCCTCTGGGGGCAGCTCATTCCAGTCCTGGACAGAGTGATCCTTATGGTGATGAGCTTGGTACCTGGCTCCCTGCCACATCCCTCCAAAGATGCAGTGGCCATCAGAGTAATCTCAGTCTCCTTCAGGAGACAGCCCTTTGCCTGTTTACTGAAGCAGATCGTGTAAACCTGGAGCCTCTGCCTCTCCAGGGAAATGGCCTCAATTCTTTCCACTATTTCCTATGTAACAAGGTTTTAATTGGCACTGTCATTCACCTAGATTTTCCTAAATGTGCTGACTTGTCTAGATTGTTCTCAAACTGTAACGTCCAGAAGTAAAGGCAGCGGCCCTGCTGTGGACTAATTGATACCCAGTATAAGATATCTGCCCCCTTTATCATTCGAGCTAGAATACTCCTGTTAATATGCCCACATCACCCAGCCCCTATTTAATGCAGCCTGTGACTTGGTCCCAAGGGTCGATGTGATTGTCAAGCATCACCACCTCCAGTCTGTGCAGGTCACCTCAGAGTAGTGTTTTCTCAATCCTCCCAGTTCCCAGCCTAAGAGAACCATTCAAAGCCAAAGAGCACATTGACTCAGTTGGCCAGGGCTGGGCCAGGTAACAGAATTCTGGAAAGCACCTTCCAGTTGATATTAACCCACCATTAAGCACAGCCAGTTATGAATTCTCCATAACACAGGTCAACTTCAGTCTCTCCTCTTTGGGAAATGGTACCATTTACCCCCACTCTCACTCCATGTGTTTCAGAGAACTCTTCTCTACCTTATGACCAGAAATGGGCACAGGGCTCAGAGCCGCCCTTGGTCTCCAGACCTCGAGTGACCAGAGGCAATCCAATCAGAGGAAATACTGGGAACTGGGGAGGAAAAACTCCCCTTTTTACAGGGACTGGCGAGGACAAACTGTAAGGTAAAGCTTCCTATGGGAGAAAAAGAAGTAAAGAAACCACAGCAGAGCAAAGTAGAGCAAAGGGAAGTACAGAGACTGAGCTACAAAAATAGCATTTGAGCCCCTGGATGCAGCCCTGCCTGAAGCCCATCTGACAGCTTAACTTACTTGTTTCGTTAACCCCCAAAGTTCCTTTTTACCAAAACCAGCTGCTTTCTGTCAATGAGCACAAAGCAAAATTCCACAACTTCCCTCACACCCAGAAAGGCCAAGTGACATCTTATCAAACCCCTTGCCAAAGTCTACTACCTCAATGAACCCCAATCACAGCACTATAGTTAAGAACTCAGTTCTGGAGTCCAGTCATCCAGGCCCCACCTTGACCGCTGTGGGGCCATGGACAGATCACTGAAGCTACCTGTCTCCCTGTCCTCATCTGCAAAGGATTATTATGGAGAAAGAGTTAATACATGTAAAGTCTTTACAACAATGCCTGTCACACTGAAGTGCTCAAAATACAGTAGTGTATATTGCCATTATCATTACTGTTTTTATTGTTATACTAAGATTATTATTACTGTCTGGTTATACCATCAGAGTCAATGTTTAATGTGTTAGACCTGTACTAGCACCAGGTGCCCTCGGGACTTCTTTTATAAGGGCTCTTCCATCATCCCTCAGAGAATGTTTCCTTGTATCCCTTCTAGGATCAACTCCAGCTCACTTTGTTCTCTAGGATCCCTTTGCCAAAAATTAGCCCTCTACAGCCATGGAATAATTCACCCGTCTAGCTGCTTAGATGAAAGCCCCTCTCCTCCAGGGATGCACGGGGCAGGGAAGTGACAAGTGTGTGACACTGGCCCCTTCCCCGCTATTCAGGTACACAGTGCCACCTCGTTTATATTCAGTCTAGCTAACTCGGCAAATCTCAGAAAGTGAAGTGGAACTCCTAATTAAAAGGTAGCCTTAAGCTGTCGATAAAATTATGCACAAAGGAAATGTTTCAAAACACAGTAGCGACTTCCTTGAAACAGATTTTCATTTGAGATAATTTTTTTTAACTCATGTATGGGGGTATATGAGAGTGTGCTCTCAACGCTGTCATTCCTTCCTCTCTGAAGCCTAGAAAACCATCTTTGATACACAGAACATCACACTGCATTTGGAATTGCTGGCTGGAAGAATGAAGGGTCTCATCTTTTCTCCTGATTTCTGGAAATGGCAGGGATTGGCGTTTGCTTTATTTGTTTGGGGAGGGCGGTTCCTTGTTTGCATTCCTGTCCTGGGCCCATCGCTGTGACTGATCATCTTTCACTCTGAGCCCAGTCAGGTAACTCCAAGCCTCCCACAGCACCGGGACTTGCCTCCTCAGAACACACACCACCATGTGCAGCCGTCGTGTGTAATCTGTCTGTCTCCTCGGCTATACTGAGAAGGTCCAGATCTGTTATCCCTGTGTTCCCAGCACCTGGCTTAGCATAGATGTTAACAGAAGCAGCAACAATAACAATGAAATGCTGACTGGATGAATAAAGGAATGAATAGGTGGAAGAATGAAGGGAACACCTGGCTCCATGAATAGCTAAGTAATCCCTCCAGGTCTCAACTGATTCCTCATCACGGACCTCATCACGGACGCAGTGACTGATTCACATAGCTGGCATTTGACATTTGTGTGACAGTGCCCCCCCATGCCACTGCATCCAGGTGAAAGTTATTTTGCTCTTGTTTTTATCTTTCTGCTCCTCACATTACTGACTTCCTCCAGCTACCTGGGTAAGCCTAGGCAAGTCTCTTCCTGTGACTGGACACCAATATTCTATTGTCCAAAATAATGACAAGGTGGGATTGAGCGACTTCGAGGGTCCTCCTTGAACTGATCTCTTTCTTCCCTCCTTCCCTCTCACGCTAGGAAATCTGCCTTCTTACCTTCAAAGCTCCCAGCAAACAGGTAAAGCCAGGTGATGGCTGGAATGCAGAGAAGCGTCAGTGAGGCAGCCAGGAATTTCCGTCTCCCTCTGCAGATTCCCAGCATCCTCTCCGAAGTGGCAATCCCTAATCCCAGCGCCGTTTTTCTGCCAGGAGCATGGAGTCCTCAGCCTCCCTCATAATACTTTCTGAAAGGAAGAGCAAAGAGGAAGGGCTGAGTTCTTAGCACCGTAGAGGATGCAAATTGCAGAAGAGAAATACCCTGTAGATGCTGAAACATGTGACTCATGGCCGATCTCCTGCTAACCTTGTCTCCCAAGAGATGCTGCCGCAGTCTTGCAGTCTATCAAAACCAAGACTGCTCTTTAAAAAAACAAAGAATGATAAAAAACCATCTCTCTCCTTCTCTCCCTCCAACGTGTGCACCTGTTAGCCCGAACTAACACACTTATTAAAGGAGCGCATAGTTAGCACCTTGTATGTCCCAAGCACTAAACAACGAGAATAATGGTTAGGAGGGCCCAACATCAAACATCCATGGGAACTCCAAAAATGATGACTGTGACTTGCACGGACCTTTGTGGAAGAATACGTGAAGTTGCTGACCGATATGTATGTGCTCAGGGAGGCAGAACTGTTCCCGTGATCCAGGCAGTGAGGACGGCCGCAGGTGCATGGACTGACCACACGCAAAGGGAGGGAGTGGACAGGCCACAACCGCCTGGGCAGGAGACTACCTCTCAGCCACTGCCGCAGACCTAGAAGCTCACCCAGCACTGTCTCAAGAGCTTGTACCTTCATTTGGAAGAAGGTGTCCAGCAAAGCACAGAAATGTCAAAACATCCCAGAATGCAGAGAATAGAGATGACCTACGGCCAGCGTGCAGAGAGACAGAGCCACACTGAAACTGGCTGAGATGCAGTAAAAGAAGTGGGGAAAGGTCAAAACAGAAGGAGGAGAGGGTCCATGATCGCTCACCTGAGTACTAAACCAGGAAGTCAAGTGACTTGGGAAGGAATGAAAATCCCAACAGACCATGCAATCTCACCTCCACTCACCTCCTAAGAGGTGCCACACTGGCTCAGTTGGAGGAGAAACCCATGTGGAGCCTCCCAAGAAGAGCAGGGCCTCCCACTGCAGAGCAGACAGCTAACAGCTCCAGATTCCCGACGACTGGATGTCCATTAAATAGCTGGTTGGGTATCGCCATGGGTGTTCCCACAGTGTGTCCTCGCCTCTACTGAAACCTTAAACCCCATGGGATGATGGTCTAGTTGAACTGTCTCCCTTGCCTACCAGCCTCAGGGTTTCCAGAAGCCAGGCACCCTGTCGGATTCACCCCTCATTCCCTAAGACTAAGCATGCTGCCCATCACCCGCCGGTGCCTGATAACTGCCCGCTGAATGAATAAATGGAATCATATTCCAACCAGAGGCAACCCTCTCAAGCTTCAGGAGTTTGTGTTCAGCAAGATGCTGGCAATAAACACCTAATGGAGCTGATCTCAACTGTCAACGCCAGGCCGTCTTCTGCAACCGCACTGACACAATTTTCTAAATGACCCTCTTTGGAAACAGATAAAAGACCACAGGGCTGGAGGGTGTGGACTAGAAAGTAAAGCTGAAAAAGCAAACTCCCTTTAAACTAAGAATGTTGACATGAGAAAAGTCCCCCTGGGGAAGTTTTTCACTCTGAAGCATAGGAAGCCAGCCCTACATACAAAGCGCCATCGCCAAGGGTGAGAATCACCGAGACTTGGGATCTCTTAGGAAGAGGGAGCATTCGGGGCACAGGGCTGCACAGTCAGACAGACTGGATTCAAGTCCAGGTGTCACACTCCACTACCAGTGACCTTGGTGAGTCCCCTACTGCCTGGGAAACTCTCTTTTGTTTCCCTACTTTTTGTTTTGTTTTCTTTTTATTATTTGTTTTATTCTGCAAGGGTCATTGTGAGGTGTCAATGAGGGAGTCCTCGAATACGTGGCTAGCAAAGATTGACGGCACCCATGGCAGGGGCACCCCCTCTTCCTGAGAGCTAGAGAGCAGCTTTGCTGAGGTTTGTACCTCTTCCCACACCCCTTGTTCTCCCTTAGGATTTGGTAGAAAATACATCCCAACAAATGGGGTGACTGAAACGTGAAGCGCCTTACCGATTCAATTCTCCTTCAGGAGGCACCACACCATGTCAATCGCTTTTCTGTGCAGTTCATTTGTGGTACTGACAGTGGAGACAAGCAGCAGCAATTAGCACTTACTATGTGTCAAGCACTTCTTTGTTTTTTACTTGTTTAATTCCCCAAATAACCTATGAGGTAGACACTGGTTTTACATTTCCCTCTTTTGGATGAGAAAACTAAGGCCTAGAAAGAAAAACTGGCCAAAGGTTACACACACCTACAGCAGAGACCTCAGGCTCTCCTCTCCCTGAGTAATTGATTCTAACAACCTTTGCCAGAGAGCATTTTCATTCTGATCGAACCTAAATCTTTCATATTGAATCTTATTATTTTCTTCCCCAAGGTCAAATATATCACCACTATTTGCTCCCATTCCAAAATATATATATATGTATATGTAATTGGAAAGCTGTAGATGAATTTAGACATTAGAGGAAAGTAGGAATATATATGGAGCTGAACTCATGGGCATTAATATTTAAATAACATTTTTAAGACATTTAAAAACACTTATTTCCTTCCTTCCCTCTCTCCATCTGCAGAAGTTAATTTCAACTGGCACAATTTGTACAAAGTTTTAAAACAGAGTCTAGGGGTGTTTGCATTTCATGATAACACTGGCATCTGAAACTAAACCCAGCAGATAAAAAATAGTCCTTCATAGATTTGACTTTTAAATGGCACCTCTGTGGACTAAAAACACATTTTAAAGAAAAATCTCAATTTACATCAGAAGTTACTCCAGGAAGCCAATATAGGAATCAACAACACAAGATGAAGAAAGGGAAGAAGAAACTGGAGGTGGGTTGGAAATTACACCCCTAATATGTGCAAACTTTGTTGCCTAACTAGGAAAACCAGTCTCTCACCTGCTCTTGGTGAAAGGGAGACTGCCCCACCTGTGGGTGTCTAGGACTCATCCCCGAACGCCTCTCCCTCAAATCCAGCATCCAAATCCTGGGCCAGGCTGGTCAATTTCTCCTCCTAAGCATCTACTCCATCTGTCTTCTCCCATCTGTCTTAACCAACGAAATCCACATTTATGAAGAACATTGCATGAGTCAGAAAAATTACCGTGATCTGTTAAGCGACAAAGGCAGATTTAAAACTAAGCATGAAACATGACTACAAGTATCCTTTGGTGCAATGTAATAAATCGCATATGCACGTGTAAATGCCGACATGACTACAGATAAGAAAAAAAGTATAAGAGTTATCACTGAGTATAGGATATGGGTACTTTCAATATATACAAATGTATCTTTTTCCTAAATTTTTTTTTACCAGGAGTACACATTGCTTTTATAATTTGAAAATATTTAAAAGCTTGAATCGCCCTATATTGTGATGCTGCTTGCAATTCAAAATATCTCAGCACAGATAGGATCGTATGTATATTTTACTTTGCTTTAGATGCTGGGTGCAGTGAGGTAACGTCTGTAGGATTCTAATTGGCAATATGCCCTCTAGGGGTGGCTGGTTATCATTCAAAAGACTAGTCAGAATCCTACATTCTAAACGCATGCTCCAGCCATCTCTGATCAACCCCCAAGGCTGGCTTTTAATCAGCATCATGGACATAAGAAATTATTTTTCATGGGTGTTCAAGATGTGTGGATTGTCTCGAAACATTGCACATGAAGAGAGAATAATTTTACTAAGGAACCTTCCCCCCAGAAAATGTCCAAGGAACCCAACAGCCAGAAAGCCCTTCAGCACCACTCAGGATCCCAAGCTGACCCTACAGACATACAAGAGTTAGAACATGTAACATTCCAACTAGAAGACTGGCTGAACCCTGCCACTTGCACATTGTTGCCCAGTCTCCACTAAGCCATTCTTGCAAGGTGCTGTCCCAGAACCTAAGGGAGCAAAGAGCTTATAATACAGGTCCTACAGCCAACAGAGCCTCAACAGGTGCTGGCTTTGTTATTATTATTTGTATTATTGCTAGGATTATATCCCCATCTCATGCCTTTACCCAAGCCATCCTCACATGACACCCCGAATAACCTGCAATGTTGCTGCTGGACCTCCAGAGGAATTTCAAGTCCTTACTGCTTCTGGGGAGCCTCTCTAGCAAGCCCAGACCTGGAGGTGCCCCTTCTGCTCCTTTCTAAAGGCCAGTAGCACACTTCTCATCACTGAATTGTCTTCTAGTCATTTCCTGTGCATCAATCTCTCTTCATTAAACTACAACTCCTTAAGGGCAAAGAACCCAGGTCTTCTAGTGCTGTGTCTAAGACAAAAGTACACATTTAGCCTTCTTGGTCCAAAGTGTGGTCCCTGAACCAGCTGAGAGCTTGGGAGAAATGCAGAATCTCAGGCCCCAACCCAGCCACAATGAATCAGTGTGTGCATATTTAACAAGCTCATAGGTGATCCGAGTGCACAGTACTGATAGAGAGGCCTGTACTAAACCACTTAGTAAACACCTGGTTAACAATCAAAGCTGGCCCTCTCACCCTTACCCCTGAAGGGACTGGTCAGGGCACCAGGGAGAACCGTGCACATCCTGGACTTCACTGATTGCATGTTTATCAAAGTTTTCTGACAGATGGAAGCAGGGCTTCTAGAAGCACCTTTTTCTAATTAAACAAAAGCATCTTGTACACTGGAGGTGGCTCTGATGACCCACCCTGACCTCCTATCAAAAATACTTCTCCTGTATATGAATAATGACTGAACAGCACCAACACCATCCATCACCATACCTACCCTGCAAAAGGGAAAACTGAGACCAGAGAGGTTAAGGACACTGATTTAGGTGTTGGAAACGCTGGAGCTCAAATTCCAGTGTTTCCTGGAGAAACAGAAAGTCAGTTCCTTGCTCCAGGGTGCGCAACTGACGGCCAGTCTGTACCTCCCCATACAGAGCATAATGCCTCAAGGGCCATCGCTGTGTGCTGCTAGCACATTATCTGGCACATAGCAGGTGATCAAGAAATACTTACTGAATGGATCCGTGACTGAGTATCTCAGGTCACAGGCAGCCAGAAGCCACCCTGGAT